ACGAATCTAACCATATAAAAAACTTAAGCTAACTCTCAAAGACCAGAGAGAATTTCTCTGGCCCTAATTCTTAATCTAGTTTTTTCAGAAAGTTCATGGATGAAATTCTCTTAGCACGATTAATATAAATGAAAACTAAGCACATGTATGGTTTCAGGACTATGAATACAACATCTTTCATTCACAAACCTAAGTATAACTATTCCTAAATAGAGAGATAGAAGTTCATGAAATACCTGTTTCAGTTGAGTTCGAGCTGGACAATGTAGCAACTTTCAATGGTGCTTGAGGTTCTTTTGAGTTTGCCTGATGTCCACTGAAGCTTTCTCAATGCTTAGTTTGTTTTGAAGTAGCCTGAATTGTGCTACAGAACTCAACCTGCAAAGCTTCCAAACAAAAATGGCAATGTGTGTTAATGGAGTTACAGTTGGCATACTTTGCCCTTGGTTACTGGAATTTGTGAATTTGATTTGGCTTTAGAGATATGTCCCTATGCTTCAAAGATCATGGTTTGACATAAAGCATAACTTTTCAAAAATGGCAATGTACCTTTTTCTACTTAAGGATTAGTTTTGTGTGCAATGTCCAAATGGCCAAGATAATGCATTAGCTCAGTGGATTTGCATTCAATTAAGGAGTGTAAAATGGTTTAGAGGCTTGCAAACAAGTACAAAGCATGCTGGTTTGAAAATGAAACTTGTATGAACATGTATTGGCCATGGATCAAAGTGAGTTTTTGCCAACTTCAAGCATTCGATTCTCCCTAACGACAAAGGTGTTTGAGGAGTTCTAGGATAATTTGGAAAGCTTGCAACATGTACTACAATCCATATTTGAAATTCAAATTAATACTCCAAGTAGAACTATATGAAAAATGGCCAAGAAGATGGGTCAAATCCTGCCTAAACTAGGGCAAAATTTCTCTAAGTTAAAAGATTTAGGTACCCTTGTTCCAAAAATCATAACTTGAGATCCAAGATTCTTTTGAGAAAAATTTGTGAATAAAAGTTTTAGACTTTATGAAGGACTACAACTTTAATGTTTCAAGTTTTGTTTGAATCCATTTGCATCTTGGTGAAAAAATGGGATAAAGTTAGGAAAAAATAAGAAAATTTCATAACTTAGAAATTTTCTAAGTTATGAAAATTTTCCATTTTAAACCCTAATTTGCATTTTTGGGTTTCTTGATGAACAAGTTTCATAATTTGACATGATGAAAAATGAATCTTGGCATTTTATTTTGACCAAAAAGTCAAAGTTTGACTTTTCAGTATATAGTCAAATTTTGATCAGTTGACTGAAAAATTCATTTGTCAATCCTATGCATTTGAGATCTTTTGAACTTATTGAATAGGTCAAGACAATGTCATTGAATCCTTGTGTCCATAGTTGAGCTTGATTTACCATTGGCTAGGTCAAACAGTCAAAAATTGCCCTTGTGCATTCAAAACCCTAAAAATGACCATTTTGCCCTTTTGGTGATCTGATCAAATTTCTTGTGGAATTGTGATCCAAAATTGATCAAATGGTTCATATGAGTTCATAATGTTAATGTGGGTCAAAATTCATGAGGTTTGACTGTCAATTGGCCACAGTTGACTTTTTTCCCAATACAGTTGATTTCTAGGTCAACTGTCTAATTGACTGGGCAAAAATTTGAATCAAGGCTTGAAACTTGGTATGGACAAACTTGTGAGTCCAACATGAAGTATTAAATTCATTTTGGGCATTTTAGGTCAAAACATCCTTGTGCAAACTCAAACCCTAATTTAGGTCAACAGTGCAAGGAGGTGTCTTGAGCAGAGCAAACCCTAACTTGATCTTGAGCTCCAAAAGTCTTGTGATGAGAAAATGCTGATGAAATGAGAGGGCAAATTTTGGGGTAAAACACACGCTTTGTGAAACCTACTTCGATTAAGAAGCTATATATTCTCTTTTTCCAAGCCCTTCGCCACTAGTCTTGCCTTTTGCTTAGAAATTTCACCACTTGGCCTTTGTTTCAACTTATAAACTGACTTCACATCGATTGGCTTCCTTCTAGCTCTTTCGATAAGCTCAGAGGTCTTGTTCTTCTCAAATTCCTTGAGTTCTTCTTTCATGGTTGCACACCAATTTGAATCGTTCATGACTTAATCTAAATTGATTGGTTCTACTTCAGCCATCATCATAGATTCTTCTATTAAGTCACCATCCACGTCAACTGCTTGATTTGGAAATCTCTTATATCCAGCTAGCCTTGTCGACTCAGTTACTTCTCTAGTCGATCTTTAGACTTCATACTCAGGTGGTCCTTTATTTTGATTGGTTGTGACTTCGGTTTGTTGTTCTTCTTCAAACACATGTGTGATTGTATACGACTCCTGTCAAACTGACCCATGACTCCAATCCAACCCTTTGATTTCGTCTACCAGAACATCTCGATTGATCACTAGTTTATCATCATTTGGTGAATACATCTTGTATATGACTGTCGAATGATAACCTATGGGCATATTGGTCTGACTTTGATCATCTAGCCCGTTCCTTAATTGTTTAGGAACATGCTTGAAACATATTGATCCAAAAACTCTAAGATGACTAACATTAGGTTTCACACCTATCCACGCCTTGTAAGGTGTCTTCTCGGCCATATTTTTCGTTGGACATTTGTTTAAAATGTATATTATTATCGAAAATTCTTCACCCTAAAATCTCTTTGGCATATCTTTAGCTTTCAACATGCTTGTCATGTTCAGTATACTTATGTTATTTTGTTTAGCTATACCATTGTGCTGAGGTGTATAGGGTGCAATGATATCATGCTCTATCCCTTTCTCATTGTAAAATCTAGCAAATTTTCTAGAAGTATATTCACCAACACCATCAGTTCTCAGTTTCTTCAACTTGCATCCACTTTGTTTCTCGACATGCAATTTAAACTTCTTGACTTGTAATGTGCCTGCCATTTTCAAACTTTATCACTTTCTTAACTGATTCATCTAACTTGGTGAACCAGATTTTATTACCCGTCATATGGTTACTGTATCCTGAATTCAGGTACCACATGTTGGTTTTCTCAGTGTTCGATTGAGTGTTAGCCATGAGTAGCACATCAACAGAATCACTCTCTCCAGTATGTGCATATTATGCTTCATCCATCTATCACTCGAGCTTCCTTCTTTCTTCGACATTCTCGAGTATAATGGACAAATCCTTTACATTTGTAACACTGCACCTCCTTCATGTTAAATTTCTCCCTAAAATACTTGTTTCACATGCCTTTCTTGAAAGAATTAAAGTGATTCTTTGAGTTTTTGCTTGACTTCTTATCCTTTGCAAGATTATATCCCTGCTTCGCCTTATATTTCCCAGATTTCTTGGTGAATCCATCTTGCAGTGCTTGTTCAGTCATCTTCTCCTTTTCTGAGTTTATTTATATTAGCCTCGTGATCTCATGAACTTATTGATGCTTGAAGTTCTTCCAACTTCATCTCAGCTAGGTTCTTGGACTCTTCAATGGACACGACAAGTTAATCAAAATTTTCAATCAGAGAACTTAACATTTTCTCAATCTTCTACAAATAGTTGATTGATTCACTACACGGCTTCATCTAGATTGTCAACAGAACCACACGTAAAAAGTATTCGGAGACTGATTCATTTAATTCCTTCATCTGAACCATCTCGAATTTCTTTCTCAACATCTGCAACTTCAGCCTCTTCATTTTTTCATCTCCGTCGTGCAAGTTCTTTAACTTGTCTCACGCTTCTTTGGTTGTTTCCTCTTTGATTATCTTCTCGAACACGTTAGGATCCATACACTGGTGAATCAAGAACATATTTTTTACATCTTTCTTCCTTTGATCCTTATGGGAAGCTTTCTGAACAACATATGCATTCATTTCCTATGTATGTACTCCATCATTCAAGATTTCAAAGACACATCTGGAAATTTGAAAATGCCCTTCATTTGCGCCACCCACCTCTCGTAGTTATCGCCTTTGAAAATCGGTAGATTCGCTGGAAATTTCATTGATGTTGTTATTTCGTTTGCCATTGCAAATTCTCTCATAATCACAACCTGAACTCCTTGATACCAATTTGTTGGGACAAAAGGGTTTTTCGAGAAAGATGAGAGAAGAAGAAGAAGAGAGAGAGAAAGAAAGGAGATAAAACTATAAAGTGAATTTGTGAAAACGAAATACTTATTGAGTGAAGTTATTATTTACATCATATCATGCTCTTTATATAGGCAATTAAAGCACATGCCTGAAACTTAAAATCAAGACCAAAACATACCAAGTTATATTTTGGCTTCGACAAAATAGCTATATATTATATTCTATTTTTGTCAAATATAAATGACTCCTACTATTTCGACTAACTACTTTGACACTCAAATATTAACTTTTTTACAAAACATCAAATTACAACTTCTAACTGTTGATATTTGTGCAAAAAAATCAAATATAAAAGCGTGGATTTAAACACACGACATTCTACTTATTCATTTTTTATTAGAGGTGAAAATTTTGTTTGGCTACTAAACTCCTTTAAAAGAATATTGACCAATATCATTAATAATGTTGACTTTTCCTTTGGGTGCACAGAGATTGACCGAGTTGCTGCATATGCATGTGATATATCCCCCAATAAGAACCAGATTGCCAAGAAACTGAAAACTTGCTCCTTACAATTAGACATTAAGAAGACAAAACACTCAAAAGATTTTGCAATCAACGTGTATGAGTCTAGATCTTTCAAAAGATTTGCTTGTTCTTAATTATTCAAACACTTATCCGACATTCATTCTGATTAGACACAAGTACTAAAACAAAAATGATGATAAGTTAAGCTAAAAAAAAATTGCACAACAAAAACATTTTCATTATTAGCTTATAATAACTCTTGCTTACAATATTCCAACAATAATATGCATAATTATTTCAATATATTTTGGACATGAACTCAACTTCGTAACTTCAGATATTAAGCAAAATCTGATTTCTCTCTATCCTTTATCAACTAAGCATTTGTTTGGAAGTGAGACCCACCCTTTGACAAGGTGATGAAGTTGAACAACCTCTAAGAAAAGAAGAGTAGTTCAAATTTCCATTAGTAACCATTCCTGGAAACCCAACAACATTCATAGGTCTATTTGCTCCAACTTGTTCCAATGTTTGAACTTGTTTCTTCAAGAACTTCACATAATGTATTGCTTCATCTAACATTGAAGCAGTGTCCATTTTTGTTCCACCAGGGACTAATCTCTGCAAGATTCTTATTCTCTCGCTAATTCTTTCTCTTCTGTGTCTCGCTGCTACACTTTGTGGATCCTTTGAAATCTTCACGTTCTTTCTCTTTGGTGGTTTGATTGTTTCTGGGTCTATATTAATGGGTTGCATAACCGCCATACGGAATATCATCTCTCTCATCGCAGCCATTGAGTTCTTCTTATCGGAGTAAGAGGAGTACGAAGCGTTGTTGATTCTTCCGGATGGTATTTGAACTCCGTTGTGTTGAAGGGATGGAGTCATTGTCATTGGTTGTTGAGGATAAGAGAGTGGTTGATGATAGGTTACATTTGAGTTTCCATAAGGGAACTCATTTTCGGTGTTATTGAGATTGAGATTGAGATTGTTGTTGTTGTTGCTATAAAAAGGCTCATGGAAATCAGGAAACTTTTCCATTTGCATCATCATTGTCATCATGTCCATACTGCTTTCATCACTTTCCAAAGATTTCAGAATGTCCTCATCCATGAATGTTTTAAGAGACAAAGAGGAATGGAAGAAGGAAAGAAAGTACAGAAAATAGAGGCTGAGATGAGAAAAGTGAAAGTAGCAGGGTATGGGAAGAGGTGTGAAAGTAGAATGTATGCAGTAAAGAGATGGAGAGAGTGCAGACTGCAGGTTTGTAATATCTATGTAACCTACCAACAAAAACATAGGCAATTCTACTCGAGTATAGGAAGGCCTTTTTATAGCAACTTTGGAGTGATTAATATTAAATATTTAAGAAAAACTATGAATAGAAAGATAATAGTAATTTTTAGGGTATTAAAAAATCATCACGAAAATGACTGTGACAAAATCATATTGAGAGATATGAATATTCCTATTCACCATTTTTATATTAAAGAATAAATTGAGATTAATTTATAATGTGACCATTACTATATAAGTATCGTGACAATGCCGATTGAAATTATGAAAGCTTTTAGTGACCGCGAGCTTTTTAAAACCTGGTAATTTTATTAATGTGTGAAAATGATGTATGAAAATGTATGTACGTACATTTAGCATGGAAATGTGTTTTTATTGATTATTATGTAACATACCCATGACGTGTGGGGTTATTCGTAATAGGAAGGGTTTGATGTGAACCGTTGATTATTAGGTCAATGGTGAAAGAATTTAAGATCAAGGGTTGAAAATGAGAAGGGACCACATAAGATAGAGGTAAGGATTTGGAAGGAAAAGATAACGGTTGAATGCTGGTGCATGAACCGGATGGATGGATGGGTGTTTTATGCGATGGATTGTTAAATCCTTTTTACTCAAAGTTGTTTGCTTTTGCCTTGAAATTGAATGATATATGGTGTATTATTTTACGACTTTATGATAATATATAAGATGATAGTTAGGTCCACAGTCACATGACAGTTGTCAGAAGGTCACTGGCAAATAGATTCATTGCAACTCAGTTACGGGCGAAAGGTACAGCAAGGGCAGATATCAATAGGGATAAGAGGGTCATTGTCAAATGGTCCCGTTTATATAAATTATAATAATTGTTCAAATTGAAAGGGTAATTGTCAATAGTGGAAGGGTCTTTGTTGAGTTAGATTTGATCCTATTCGTATTCCTATCGTATCAATACACTTGAGAACACACTACGAGGTGGAATGGAAACTATTCTCTCGCAAATGATTGTTGAACGAGGGTTGAATACTCCAATTTCATTGTTGTTTGTCATTTGAGTTCTCTTCGTTGAAATCTCTAACACTTTATGTTGTCTTCATTGCTTATAGATGTATCATGTCTGTGCAATTGTGATCAATCAGTTTTGTATGAATAAGTTAAATTCAACTAATGATATCACAACTTATCTTGGCAACTTATCTTGGGTCATTGTTGGTCCTCCTCATTATCCACACTTCAACCTGATTGAGATTCCAAATTAAAAATTCCGTCTTCATTGCGATCCATTCTTTATCGTCTAATTGATGCATTTTAATTATCTTCATTGAAGCCTTCAATATATATATATATATATATATATATATATATATATATATATATATATATATATATATATATATATATATATATATATATATATATATATATATATATATATATATATATATATATATATATATATATATATATATATATATATATATATATATATATATATATATATATATATATATATATATACTCTAGTGTTTCATTACAAGAAGCATTTTAAATTTGAATTTCACTTTTTCTTCTCTTATTTCATTACAAGAAGCATTTTAAATTTGAATTTCACTTTTTCTTCTCTTATACTTTGTGAGAAGTAGTTTGATATTTGATTTGTAGAGTATGAGTTTAGTGAGGGTTGTAGAGTGGTTAGGAGTATTATATGTGTTGTCAGAAACATTGATATAATGTTATTTTCTTGGTTGTCATTTGACAACGACCATAGTTGTTGTTTTTTTTTTGGAGTTTATATGTTATATTTTCGTGTTGTGATTGTGTTATTTATTTTCTCTATATTGATTTTTCCAATAATGGATATTAGTGCATTCTGTACGATCTAAGGATAGAGTTCTTAGTATGCTTTATGGTAGCAATATTGTTTGATCTTTCACATTAAAAAAATTGGTACAAGTTCCGTTATGAAGTTTGGACCAGAGAAAAATGATAAGAATTATCTTTTTGTTTATGGGAAATTCAAGTCAATAATGTGCTGATACAATCGAGATTTCACAAAAAGTTCGTTAGTACACAAGTGTTTATTGTCATTGATGTAGTATGTTTCCTAAGATTATGTAGATTACATCATTGATTGAAGAGTTTCTTACCAATATGGAAGTTTCACCGTATATTCTTCATTCGCGGCATGTGAAAATTATTGGAGTGGTTTAGCTTCAATAAAGTTTACTCTTCTGGTAGACCATGATCTTTCATTTAAACTATGATTGTTGGTCAATATACTGCAAAATTTTGGAGTAATTTAGCTTCAAGTGGAGTATTTTTTTTCTTGTAGAACATGATAGTTCTTTTGAAATATGATTGTTAATGAAGATAATATGGGAATTTTTGGAGTGATGTAACTTTAAGTGACTTTACTCTTAATAGTGGAGTATGATAATTTTTGTACTATGATTATGTGAGTAGAGAATGAAAATTAATAGGTCATTTTCGATCAAAATGGGGATTGTTGGTGTTGATTGAAATGATAATATATATATATATATATATATATATATATATATATATATATATATATATATATATATATATATATATATATATATATATATATATATATATATATATATATATATATATATATATATATATATATATATATATATCCAAGCAAATCTAAGTACAAGAGGAGTGTGAATTGTATTGCTTAAACATCGAAGTCTAATTATAAAATATGAGTTATAAAAATGTTTAAGTTGATTGTATATTACAAACAAAATTTAATCATTGAAATAAGTAAATAGAATAAAAACAAAGAGACGGAGAGAAAGAAATAAAGTGGAAAAAAATAAAGAATAAAAAAATAAGGGTTAAATATATAAATTCTCTTGTAATGTTAGCGAATTCAGGTTTTAGTTCCTCGTAAATTTTTTTTTTAAAAACTCCCTCGCAATTTCCAGATTCCCTCAGATACACCCCGTGCAAAAAAGATTCCAATTTTTAGTGACTTGACTGTCCAACTGAATTTTTTATTTTATTTTTAAATGCCACGTAGACTTTATATATTTTTTAATTTTATTTTATTTATTTTTTAAATATTAATTTTTTTGTATTATTTTTTTTACGTTTTCTTTTCTTAATTTTAATTAATTAATATTTTAAATGAATTATTATTTTAAAGTATCAAAATATTATAAATGGGCATTGGTACAGTTTTATTACATGAGCAGCCCATTTACTTAGCTTATTTTCAATTCATTACTCTACATGTGTCATTGAGTTATATACACTAATATTGTATTAGACAAAATCGATGTGAGACTTCTCAATAAACATTGCATTTCTATTGCATACATAATCAGTTTCAGCCTACCACGTTTCATCTCTTCCTCTCAACATTATCACCACCATGTTTCACTCATGCTTATGGCTTTCTAACTGTGAATAAGCATGCTTATACAATTAATACTTAACAATTATTCTAACTGTAATTACATGCTTATAGTTAGTATACATAATGGTAATAATACTATATAAGAATAGCATACCAATTCTTCTTTCTTTATAGACAAAGAAAATTCAGGTTTCCAAATGACTCTTTCAAATAGAAGACATAGAAAACATGCTGCATGTTGAGACTGCTCAAATCATTGCTAACTGCAAATAATATATTTAATATATACACTCTAGGCTAATAGCTACGGGTTCAACAACTTCTGTAAGCTTTCAGAGCTCCATCTTCAATTGATTTGAATGTAGAGATGTTGTAATACAATCACTATGCCAAAATTGAATTTAGACAGCGCCACATAGACAGCGCTTATGCCATAAGCGCTGCTATAGGTTTTAAAAAAAAAATTTAAAAATTAGAGTAAGCGCTACTAAAGGTATACCTTAGACAACGCTTACTAAAAGCGCTGCTAAAGGCCTTTCCATAGACAGCGCTTCCTTTCCCTAAGCGCTGATATAGGTTTTCAATAATAAAAAAATAAAAAAATAAGAATAAGCGTTGCTAAAGGGTATACCTTAGACAGCGCTTACTAAAAGCGCTGCTAAAGGCTTTATCATAGCCAGCGCTTCCTTTCCCTAAGCGCTGCTATAGGCTTTCAATAAAAAAAATAAAAAAAATAAGAATAAGCGCTGCTAAAGGGTATACCTTAGACAACGCTTACCAAAAGCGTTGCTAAAGGTGTGATAAAAGGTATACCTTAGACAGCGCTTTCAGGAAGCGCTGCTAAAGGCATTAAACTAAAGCGATGCTAAATTCTTAAAGCGCTGCTAAAGGTAATACCTTTAGCAGCGCTTCTTGAAAGCGCTGTCTAAGGTAATTAAAAAATTTCTAAATCCCTAAATTGGTTATCAGAAACCCCAAATTTATACAAAACCCCACTTTATACATGCAACTGTTCATCTTCGTCTAACTCTCCCTCCTCACCATCTCCTTCGTTATTTTTGTCTTGTTTAATCTCTTTCAAATCCGTTTACAATCGATGAAGCTGTGGAACTCAAAATAAGGTTCTTTCTTTTAACCCATTCTCTTGTTCATCTTTTATTCATCGTTTTTTAATTCCGATGCGATTCTCTGTCATGGGTTAAGTGTTTAGGGTTTCGATTCTCTCGTTTGAACAACTTTCATTGCGTTTATGAAAATAAATCTGCAGTTTTTGTTTGCTTATTGCTTGGTACTTCAGTTCTAAAATTCATGGAATAGTTAAGTAGGATGTATCCTAATTAAACAAGAAGAAATCAGATCATATTGGATAGTTTAAAATAGTCTAAGAAAGATGTGAAAATGATGTCATATATTTCTCAAAAATTTTAACACTACAGAAAAATGA